GAACACCTCAAAATTACAAAACAAAACAAAACAAACAAACAAAAACAATATCTTCCAAAAAGGTCTCTTCGGTATAATGGATAAATAAAATAATGTTAAGTCAAATTAAAAAGGTGAAGCCTTCTTGCACTGGATGTGCTGGTTTGGGCCTCATTGCCGGCTGCAGTCATGTCCTCATCTCATATATAAAACACCTGTGATTCACAAATACTTGCTAAGGAACTCGCATTCACATAAAGTAGCCTTGTTGACAAGTTTGGGTGAGTAAGGGCAAAACGCAGTACTTTCAGTGGCCTGTAATAGGCAGTATCACGTCTTTTGTAGCAGAAATAAACTGCCGCAGAAAAAGCTAGGTCCATGCAAAATGTAATTTGTAACTGCAACACTCATTTCAAATGTAGTGGAGTAAAGAGTACAGATACTCGATCAAAAATGTAGTGGAGTAAAGAGTAAAAGTTGCTAATATCTTTGATACTCAGTACAACTACAAAGTACCCGAAAAGATATTCAAGTACAGTAACTAAGTACATTTACTCCAATACTTTACACCTCTGGTAGAAAGTACTATATAGTAAATAAATAAATACTAAACATTACATTCAGTACATTCAAATACAAACATACACTGCTGTTGAAAAGTTTGGCGTCAGTAAAAATTTTTAAAAAAAATTATTATTAAGAATGACATTAAATTGATCAAAAGTGACAGTAAAGGTTTGTACAGTGTTATATTTTCTTTTTTATTTCAAACAAAAATATTAACAGCAGAAAATCATCAACATAGAATGATTTCTGAAGGATCATGTGACACTGAAGACTGGAGTAACGACTGCTGAAAATTCAGCTTTGCCATCATAGGAATAAATGACATTTTAAAATATATTTAAACACCCATTTTAAATTGTAATCATATTTTATAATATAACTACTGTTATTATATTTTTGTCAAATAAAAGCAGCCTTGGTGAGTATAAGAGACTTCTTTAAAAAAAACATTACAAAATCTTACCATAGTGTACAGTATATAAAAATGCATCATTAAAAGGTTGACATTTATTACTATTTGAATGTACATTAATTAAGTTCTTACTTTTTGTTCGACAAGCGCTGTCAAAATCCTCACAGCAACTTCCATAGTACTTGCACATTCTATCACACTGGCATTTCTTTGTAGGATCAAAGCCACTCTGACAGCGTCCCGTGCATGTTTCTGTGGAAAATTTAAAAACTTAAAAACACCTTGAAAGCTCAATAAGAATAATAATGAAGCAGCTTGTGGGACACTCACCCTCTGCAGCAAAACAAGTCGCCAAAACAAGGCACAATAAAATCCCAAATTTCATTTTTAATGGCACATCTGTCAGCAGCGAGTGCCTGAAATGCTCTAGAATCACCAGTGTGTAAGAATGACAGAGGACAGCTCAGACATCTGTGCCGATCGATGGCTCCAAAAGTCACCCACCCCGTTTGTTTAGTCTGAAAAAAAAAAAATCAATGATTACTACAAAATTGTCCTGTTACCATTAATCCTTCATGTTATGATTAAGGCCTTTTAGTTAATTTAAAGTTAAGAACATTTAACAAGGATGTAACCAAATAGGTCTGAAATGCATACGGGTAATAGTGAATATAACTGTAATAAGTGGGAATGTGTAAGTGGCCTAAATAAACTATTGAACTACTATTGAGCTGCCAACTATTGATTCCACTGTCTGAGCAACTCAACTCGCTGTGTTTGTATAGACACGGCTGATGTTCAGTCTTTAACTTTCTGATGAAACAAATTAGAGATGAGTATTTAAAACATTTATATATAAGAGCCTTGAGCTATAGTGAGGAAGGTCTTTAAGCCCACTACGGAAGTATTTGCATCAAAAGATGTTAAAAATGCTGTTCAGATTCATATGACAGGTGTGCTGACCAAGGTGCTGAAATAATTGGAGGAAATAGCACTGTATCTCCATTAGCTGCTCTACACTATAGACTGTATCACAATAATTTCTGTTGTTGGATTTTCCTTTTTTAAAATTCTTTATTTTACTGTGCTTGCACTGCATTATTCAAACACGAGTTTTGAGCAGTGTAGAGTAGCACTTGTAGTTTGTCATTTCTCCGATCACAAATGCAGACTGGATAGCTGGCCAATCAGAGCACACCTCACTTTTCAGACCGATGTTTCAGAAAGGCGGGGCATAGAGGAGAAACAATAATGTACAGTATGTGGAAAAGAATGTGTTTTTTGAACCTTAAAACACATTTCATTACACCAAATGCACAAAATAATGTTCTTTTTAGCAACATCATATGACCCCTTTAAAAGCCAGCACACGGACAATTATATTTTCATAAAATATAGTACTTTAGTCTCTTATTTTCCCAGAAGTGAACAGAAACATTCTTTACATATCTCTAGTGTAAGAGAAACCCTTATCAGGGTGACACCTGTTCTTCCATGATGACATTGGCAGTGTGAAAAGTTCAGATATGCTTTCAATAAATCCATTAGTCTGTGTTCCAACAAAACAATGAATTGTGGCTTTAAAAAAAAGATAACAAAAGGGTTAATGTTTTTTGTTTGCCATCTCTTTTACCCTCCCCTTCTTCATACCCCTATTTACCCTCCCCTTGTTCACACAGTTAATGTTTAATTTTCGTTTTGTGACGATGCCTATAAACACATTGATCATGCTCGACTTCCTTTGCTGCACTCACACCATCAGCACTCTCCAGCACTCTCCATCTAGCACACACCTGACATCTGCAGCTGAGGGCCAGGAGACATGGCATCAGTTCTACGCTGGCTGTGGGTTAACAGAAACTACTTCATCATCTTCATCACCCCCCTTCTTATATTGCCCCTGCCGCTGGTCTTCCCAACTCCGGTAAGTACTTTTCTGCTGGAGCAGAAGTATTTTGTGAAAATCTTCTGCAAAGTCCTTGTCATGAACATCTTAAGCAAAACTGATTCTCTATGCATCTACATTTTGTGTTTGTGAATTTATATAGCCAAATGACTGAAATATGACAATGTGACATCTAAACATTAAAAAAATAATAATATAAAAGATTATTGAAAAAATAAAATAAATTGAAAAAATAAGCCTCATCAGCAGCTGAATGATGGCTGAAAAATGCACTGTTCTTATTTATGAACTGTGGCATGCTGGACACTTTATTTACACAGCTTGCAGAGGTCATCCTCAAGTCACAAACAAAGAATTTAAAGTCATATGGCCCAAAGTTACTCAAGACCTGGAGACCAGGTTACTTTGACCTAGAGAGTTTCAGCTGAAAAAATATTGAACAAAACTGGATATTTGACTCAATTATTGGAGTAAAAAGGAATAATCAGACATTTAAGAACCCCAAGTGGCTAAACTACTGAATGCATTTTATTTTTTATTTTTTTTAAAAGCCCTTACACAAGATATGATTGTTATACAACCCATCATGCACCACAGTATACTTCCATACTCTTATTAAGATGTTTGAATTTATTAAAAAAAGCATGATCAAACCTTTCCTGAAAAACCTGTTATACACAATCTTGTACTGTACATGCCTCCCGCCGTCTGATAGTTTATACTTTTTAGCAAGTGAAAGACCTTTTAGTATAATTTAAAAAATGTTCACCTTCAGGTCGGGGTACATGTGTGTTTTTGCTGTGAAATATTTACCAATTTTTATAAAGTAAACATACGAATAACCTTTATATTTTTAGTAATATTTCAAAATAGATTTACTGGATTGAGGTTAAAATTTGATCTAATCAAATATGAAATATCTTTTAAATATCATCTTACTAAGTCATAATATTGGGAGATATAGAGTGATGACTGATATTTATATGATGACTAATTTTTATATTTATTTTATGTAAGTAGTCTGCTATACTGTACTGCTATAAAGATCAAAGCATTGATTTACATAACAAGCTATCACAATATACTTTTTGGCCATATAAAGATAGATGAGTCTAAATAGGTCTTCAAGAGATACAGTAGTGACCCCTCGTACCTTCACCAGATGTAATAGATTTTTAACAGAATTGAATCACACACTTTCCTCCTCTTTGACAACCTAAGATGAGAGGATTGCCATAGACTTGAGATTGCATCTTTGATGTGTTATGCATCTCATTCACATCCAATAATTCTCTTCTATAGAAATGTGTCCCGCTGCTACTTGAATAGGTGATGTATTCCCTAGTTCACTCACACTGTGACACTTCTGTTCTTCAGGAGGCAAGATGTGGTTTTGCCATCATCCTGATGGCGCTGTACTGGTGTACAGAGTGCATGCCACTGGCCATCACTGCTCTGCTGCCTGTCATCCTCTTCCCAATGATGGGCATCATGGAATCTGGAAAGGTATCATACAAAAAAAAAAACATAATTAGCATTTTGCATCATTTTATACCCTAAAATAATGGAAAAGCAAACTAATCCCATAGCAATTGTTTAAAATAAGTGTGTATATAATACACGAAAATGTGTTGTGTTCCCCCGAGAAACTTTGCATTCAATTATTAATCTTTTTCATTCTCTTGAAAAAGTGTTGCAAAAGCAATTTTCTCACATTATTTGCAGCACAAATGTTTCACAACGGAACACAAAGTTTTGCGAGACAGCAAAAAAAGCATTGAAATATCATTTTTCCTAATATCACATTTTTTTTCATATCACCATGTCCTCTGTACAGTGCACACTCTATATAGTAAACAGCAGGCTAGTACTGCATTTTAAACCGAAGCCATACTGAGCAGAACTAAATATGTGACCCTGGACCACAAAATCAGTCTTAAGTAAGACTGAAGTAAGAATAAATAAGCTTTCCATTGATGTATGGTTTGTTAGAATAGGACAGTATTTGGCCAAGATACAACTATTTGAATATCTGGAATCTGAGGGTGCAAAAACATCGAAATATTGAGAAAACCGCCTTTAAAGTTGTCCAAATGAAGTCCTTAGTAATGCATATTACTATTCAAAAATTCAGTTTTGATATATTTATGGTAGGAAATGTACAAAATATCTTCATGGAACATGATCTTTTCTTAATATCCTAATGATTTTTGGCATAAAAGAAAAATCTATAATTTTGACCCATACAGTGTATTTTTGGCTATTGCTACAAATATACCCCAGCGACTTAACGGTCACATATGTAACTGTTACTTTGTCTTTCAGGTGTGTGTTGAGTACCTAAAGGACACCAACATGCTGTTTATTGGGGGTCTGCTGGTGGCTATAGCTGTTGAACACTGGAATCTTCATAAGCGTATCGCCCTGAGTGTTCTCCTAATATTTGGAGTTCGGCCTGCTTTGTAAGATCAAACACATTGAAAACTTATAGCCTACTTTATTTCTGTCTCACTCACACACTCACCTGTTTTTGCTCTCTGTTAACTTCTGCAGGCTGATGATGGGGTTCATGATCGTAACAGCCTTCCTCTCAATGTGGATCAGCAATACGGCCACCACAGCCATGATGTTGCCCATTTCTCAAGCTGTTCTAGAACAGCTCAGTGCCACAGAGGCCGACAGCGATGAGAAAGAGCTTAGGGAAGGCCAAGATAACCAAGCATTTGAGTTGACCGAGGTCAACATCAAACATCCTTTGGACAATGTCACTGGAGACAAACCCAACAGTAAGTCCAACATGTTGACATTTTAAAAATTTTTTTTTATTATTATTACTCTGCTGCACAACAAATAAATAAATAAATTTGTGGTCACTGAATTGAAATGAATTTATTATTTTATAATGTTAAACTGTAGACTTTAGTCAGTGTAGCATAATATTTAATTTTTTACAAAATAATTAGGTTGTGAGTGATAGAAGTATAGAAGTTATATATAAATTTTTCAGCTGACCAAATGTCTTTCCGAAAAAGAAAAAGAAATAAATCATTAGACAAAAACACCATAAAACAATTTGGAAAGTTGTCAGTTACGAAATTAAATGATCTAGGACCTTTATTAAATTAAAGCATTCCATTGTAAAGACTGCAAGTCTATCTTTTACAGCCTCATTTTCATCCTCGTTCAATTCAATATGGCACCCTAATTAAGGTCTATACCATCTTAAATATATTTTTTTTTAAAGCTTCAAATCTGTGTGATTTCTGCGAATGAGGTTACTGTACTCATACTGTTTGGGTTTCGAAGCATTTCTAAATCCTGATGGTTTGCCACTAAAGGGTGTTGATGGTAAACACCATTTCCTTCTTTTTCCTACAACTTATTTCACTTCAGTTTCACTTTTTATGACTGATATTTATTATGTGTTTCCATATCCCTATTAAGTGCTTTATTACCACTGATTGGTAAAATAGCAACAAGAAAACTCGTCTTAAAACTTACATCCCACCTGTTCTAAATTTTGACAGACAACCCAGATCTGGAGGCAAGAATCAATGCACTCTCTGAACGCAGGAGGAAAGAACGTGAAGTGAAGTACCTTCGTCTCTTTAAAGTAATGAGTCTATCTGTGTGTTACTCTGCCAGCATTGGAGGAACTGCTACCCTAACGGGCACCACACCAAATCTTATTCTCAAGGGCCAGATGGATGAGTATGTTTGTCAAATATCCTGTTATTTTAATAATAATACATATATATATTGTGCATTGTTGTGCACACAAACTGTTAGACCTACAACATACAAATGTGCATACAGTAATGGAGCAAGGTCTCTTCTCACACATATTTTTGCAGCATTTTTCCAGATAACAATGACGTGATCAACTTTGCCAGCTGGTTCGGTTTTGCCTTTCCTAACATGGTGCTGATGCTTGCGCTCTCTTGGTTTTGGCTGCAGTTCATGTACTTGGGATTTAAGTAAGTAACTTGCATGCTTTACATTAAATTACATAGTGTGTCTAGGACATAAAGTAAGTGTTATTAGATTATTTCAATTTGAGGTGATTTTGTTTTTCAGCTTAAAAAACAGTTTTGGCTGCGGTTTGAAAAATGAGGGAGACAAAGAAGCTTACAGAGTGATGAAAAATGAATACAAGAAGTTGGGCCCGATATCTTTTGCTGAGGGCGCAGTGCTTGTCATCTTTGTGACCCTGGTGATCCTGTGGTTCACACGAGAACCAGGGTTCATGCCAGGCTGGGCTACTGAGCTCTTTAACAAAAATGGACAGTGAGTAAACTTCACCCAAAAACCTTTAAGAAATCGCTCACATAAAAAAGTTCTCTTCTTTGCATATTAATTTCTTTCTATTTTCCTCGGTGAAGATATGTCACCGATGGCACTGTGGCCATTTTCATGTCAACCCTGTTCTTCGTCATTCCATCTCGGCTACACTGTTCATGTTCTGTCAGTGCAAATGATGAACATGATGAAGAAGCTGAAGGAGTGGGGGAAGGTAAGGTGCTTCTGCATTCAGAGTATTTGAACGAAAAATTGTGTCATCAGTTTAAACTAGGTCTTAAACCAAATTTACTGGACTGTCTGTTTTATTAAAAAGAAGAAAAACAGAAGAAGGACAAGAAGAACAAACTGAGGGGTACTCCCACTCTTCTAAACTGGAAGGTGGTACAGGAACACATGCCTTGGAACATAGTGCTGCTCCTGGGTGGAGGATTTGCCTTGGCAAGAGGAAGTGAGGTATAATTTAATATAATACCGTGGTTCTCAACCAGCGTGTGGGACACAAGATGACTTAAAGGGGTCCTATTATGCCTTTTCAACTTTAGTTAGTCTGTAATGTTGCTGTTTGAGCATAAAAAAGAATTGCAAAGTTACAAAGTTCAAAGTCCAATTCAAAAGGAGATATTTTATTTAACAGAAATCCCTTTTCAAAAACTACAACGAATGACTCGTTTGGACTACAACGCATATTTTCCGGGATTTGTGATATCACAAATACAGACGAATGGGACGAGACCTGGTTGAGCTGCACTAGAGAAGGCAACAAGTGTTATTACTATGTCGGAGACACACTAGCTTTCCCAAGGCAGACGAACTTAGAGTGGCTACAATCATCCAGGTTTAAATCACGCTCAAATTGATTTGATTTTGACGCAATATATACACTGAAGCTCGCAGGCGGCTATGGTAAGGGTCATGACATTTCTCGACCAGGTCGCCGAGTGCTGCCAATCACAACACGCACTGGCCCAGCTAACCAATCACAGCACATTTCGTATTTCAGAAGGCGGGCCTTCATTTGATACAGGAACTATTCGAGCCGTTCATGCCAGACTGGGGAGAGAGGTGTTGTAATAATGTAAAATATGTGAAAAATTATGTGTTTTTCGAACAACTTAGTATGAGAGCCTGTTCTAGTACACCCCCAAAACAAAATCAAGACTTTGTAAAAGAGCATAATAGGACCCCTTTAACTTATATTCATATTTTTTATATATTTGTGTAGGTGTCTGGACTGTCAAAATGGCTGGGTGAAAGTCTGGCCCCACTGCAGAGCATCCCACCCTTCGCCATCTCTCTGATCCTGTGTTTCCTGGTGGGAACATTCACAGAATGCTCCAGCAACACAGCCACCACCACGCTGTTCCTGCCCATTCTAGCCTTTATGGTGAGTACACGGCTTACAGAGAACATATTTATCACAGCCTGAATTAGCCTAAAGATATCTACCGCATCAAAAATATAACTTGCTAATAATATGCCGTCTCTATTTGCAGGCCACAACCATCGGGCTCCATCCTCTCTACGTGATGCTGCCCTGCACCATCAGCGCATCGCTGGCTTTCATGCTTCCTGTAGCCACTCCACCCAACGCCATCGCTTTCTCCTATGGCAACCTCAAAGTCTTGGATATGGTATGGTTGAACACACGTTACACGAGTCTTTCCAGTGGAAGTTTAACTGGGAGTTAAATGTCAAAATACATTTTTGAGGCACTGCTTACGGAAGGATTTGTGGATAATTGTATTTTCTTATTGTTTGAAGGCAAAGGCAGGCTTCATTCTCAACATCATTGGCATTCTAAGCATCAACCTTGGCATCAACACATGGGGAATGGCTATGTTTAATCTAGGAACCTTTCCCGCATGGGCCAACACCACAAATGCAACAAGTACACCATGAAAATCTTCACATCCAATTCTTTGGTTTCATGAGAACACTGAAGGGAAAGAGAGGGGGAAAAGGAAGCTACTCCAAAAAATACCATCATTAAATGGACAAAAGGGTCACAGTATGCAGAGCATGTAGCGTAGGGTGACCATACGTGCCATTTTCCCAGGACGCGTCCTGGCCAGGATTTTTATATTGCCTAAAATATCTAGGTTTTGGCTTTGTTTGCGTGTGCGGACCGATCGGTGTATGACATCAAAATACCTAGATATTTTAGGCAATATAGAAATCCTGGCCAGGGAAATCCTGGGAAAATGGCACGTATGGTCACCCTAATGTAGCGTCCGTCTCCTCATCAATGCCCTCTGGAGCAAAAGCTCAGTTTTTCCTCAAACCTTTAGACCAGGGCTGTCCAAACTCGGTCCTGGAGGGCCAGTGTCCTGCAGAGTTTAGCTCCAACTTGCCTCAACACACCTGACTGGAAGTTTCTACGCCTAGTAAGAGCTTGATTAGCTGGTTCAGGTGTGTTTGATTAGGGTTGGAGCTAAACTCTGCAGGACACCGGCCCTCCAGGACTGAGTTTGGACAGCCCTGCTTTAGACGGTATCTTTTCAAGCACTATATAAGTGGCACGTAAGGATTTACTGCCTCCATAGTGTTCGAAATTCTGTATCACTTATTTACATATTTAAAGTCACTAAAGTATGAGGAAATGTGAGTTGGCTTCCATGTAGCACTCTTGCTAGGCCAGTGTGGGCAAAATCTGGTTCATACAGAGCTTTTTTTCTCCTACATTCTCAGTGGGTTTGGTTTTCACAAGTATGTTTTCTGGTCTTTCATTTGTGCTGGTTCACGAAAAGTAAATTAATTTATAGGGTCTGGACAAGACCTTTTATATTTTAGATCCCTTTTTGGATCAGTCTATTTAATACATTTTAATACACAGCTGAATCGTAAAATATTAATCTGTTAAGTAGTTGTCCCTACTTTGTAGAAGTAAATACTTGAAACATAAATGTCACAGCATCTTTCTGAATATGTGCCTTTTCTCAAATAAAACTAATTTTGTGCAGTCTTGTGAGAAATTTAATTTACAGCCTGCAGCAACAATATAGTTGGGAATTGATTTCAAGTATTTAATTATCTCAGAAAGTGTCATTTATATTAAAGAAAAATTGCAAATCTTTGGACCTGCATATATTTTACAGATTTTTTTTAAAAATATATATTTTTTAACTCATTACACTACTGATAAAAAGTTTAGGTTTTTGATTACCAAGGCTATATTTATTTTATTAAATAAAATCTTGTGATGCAAAGCTGAACTTTCAGCAGTCATTACTCCAGTCTTCAGTGTCACATGAGCCTTTGGAAATCATTTTAATATACCAATTTTGATGCAAAAGTTGTATATAGGTGCTTAATATTTTTGTAGAAGCCATGATACGCTTTTTTGGGGCGATATTTTGAAGGACGCAAACTCTAAAAGAACAGCATTGTTTGGAAATAGTTTTTTTTTCAACAACAAAAGCTTTGATTACCTTAAAAAAAATTCTTACTGAACCCATTTTTTAACAGTAACGCGTATAATTTAAATATAAACTAGTGCTAAGCACTAAATGAAGAATATGAAAAACATTTATAAGAAAATAAAAGGCTATGGGGGAAAAAAAAAAAAAAAGACAACTTCAATCATTTCAAAAAAATTCAACACATTTATTTCTCTTTTATTCCAGACTGCCATTTGAACTGTCCAAAACATACGTTTCATCCCCCCCCCCAAAATCATTTACAATAAATCACAATCATAAATAAAGCACATATTACATCTGACTAGAAAAATTTTTCAAGTTGTTCCTCCGTTTTACACGCTTATAGAAGTCTTTGAAAGCCTCCTCTTTATTCATAAACCAAAAACATGAAAATCATTCTCCTAAATGCACTTTTTGCACTATGAATACAAGGATCATAGATGCAACACATCCTTGGATAAGATGTTAAATCGAACCTCTGCTATGTGCACTAAACCGCCATGAAGGGTCTGGTTCGCTGGAATGTGTGAGAAAGGAAATGCTAGATGGAGAGATGAGAAGAGACCACATCTCTGGATTTCTTTGAACTACTGTTCTTTAAACGGCCATTTCTTTCCTCTTGTTTTGAACGAAGACAAAAAAGAAACCACACGAACCAGACGTTTGAAATGTCAAGGCTTGTAACGCGTGCCGTGTTCCCTTTTCAGTAGGCGTTTTTCACAATGTTGTTTTATCTACACAACCTCTCGTTTGCAGTGTGAATTATGTATAATCAGAAACTTTATGCAGACCTTTGAAAGCAAAAGTCCTTCGTTTCGACAGATCAATGAAGGTTGCGCACCATGAATGTTTGAACTGATTTGACTTGTTTTTATCCACACAAATAGTTTGTTCACGTATCAAAATATATCTAATGCAACACAAATCTATCAATTATGTCAAGGTCTCACCATAAAATCATATCATATTCAGCATGAAAAGTTCATAAATATCATGAAATATGATGTAGCTTATTCTGACAGGGAAAGAAATACTCATCAACATCAACGATATATATATAATGGTCTTATCAGAGTTAAACACCACCCTCACACACATACACACACAATCATTGAATCAAAACCCACACATACACACGCACATGATGAATAGAAAACCTAAGTACCATTCACATTACAGTGCCTTGCTTATACAAAAACACTTTAATATCTATATTTGCTGATGTGAATGATGGCAGTGTGAAATCAGAATAGGATATGTATGCATTGGATAAGACCTTATGATACGACCCTCTAGATCTCAAAAACAGGCATGACGCACTGCAGGCAGTCGTCTATGACAGTGGTTCCCAACCCTGGTCCTGGTCCCTGGCACCCCAACACTGCACGTTTTGCATGTCTCCTTAATCAAACACACCTGATTCAGGTCATCAGCTCATTAGTAGAGACTCCAAGACCTGAAATTGGTGTGTCAGAGAAAGGAGACATGCAAAATGAGCAGTGTTGGGGGCCTCCAGGACCAATGTTGGGAAACACTGGTCTATGACACTGATTCAAGGAGGGTGTGACTGCTGGACAAAGACATGTGATTGGTTCTTAGGTCTGTCAGTCAAACGCTCTGCCTCAGTCCCCTCCCACGGCTGTCCTAAGGGCCTCCGCTGTATGAATAATCTGCTTTGTTGTGCATGACCAGCTTGTTGTCCACAAAGTAGAAGCTGTCAGACTGCGTCTCGTAAGGATGGAGGATCATCTCACGTACTGAAATAAAGAGAAAACACGTCAGAGAGCTCAAATCACCATGGATAAAGTGATACACAAACAATAATTAAGCTTTTTAAAAGCTACAGTGTTTTCCTTTCATAGACGCTGGTAGGTCAATGACATGTTAATTTCTTTCTGGGTCTATTAATATACTCAAATACATACGTCAATATATCTCTCTCAATGTATTTTTGTATATATTAATACTTTTCTATAATGAACTTGCTTTGAATAATCTTAATATTTTTTGTGCTATATTCATTACTGTGTTATGAAGTCAAAAAAACTATATCCGAATGATTTCTGAAGGATCATGTGACACTGAAGACTGGAGTAAGAATGCTGAAAATTCAGCTTTGTATCGAACAAATAATTTGACAATATTACCGTTTTTACTGCATTTTTGATCAAATAAATGCAGCCTTGTTAATAAGAGGCTTCTTTCAAAAACAAAAAAAAGTCCATTCCCTTTACAACTTAGGGTCCCACTTTATATTAAGTGGCCTTAACTACTATGTACTTGCATCAAAAAATAAGTACAATGTACTTAGTGTTTATATTGTATTGCAAAACACTTTTGCGGCTATTGGTGTGGGATGGGGTAAGGTTAATGACAGGTTTGGTGGTATGCGTAGGTTTAAGGGTGGGTTATGGTGTAAGGGATGGGTCAACAGTGTAATTATAAATGTAATTACAGAAATTACAGATGTAATTACATGCATGCCATTTTTAAAATATAAGTACAATGTAAAAACATGTACACAGTAAGTGCATTGTACCAAGTGATTAATTTAAATGTAAGTACATAGTAGTTAAGGCCACTTAATATAAAGTGGGACCCAACTTAGTTTTGAACAGTATATTTAGCGGTCTTCACTTATTTTTATTGCCATACCACCATCTATGGCTATTTTCATGACAAGATCAATGGATTTTAAAAGAGACAATAGTAACATACAGTAGTAATGAAAAACAATTGACAACCAACTCACATAAATTTAACAAACATTGTATAAGATTTTTAATTTCAATATTTGATTTAAGATTATTCCTGGTGAAACACCCATTAGAGAACTTTGAGTAAAAACGCTGACAGTGACATTTAAAGCAGTACATTCTAACAAAATGAAATTACAAAAAGTACAAATTGGTGGTTCATCACCTTTCCACAAAAACAAACGAATAAGTCTGGCATAACCAACACGGCATCTTGTGTAAACGGTCTGATCACTCCAAAAGAAAATTTGCAAAAGCCCATTCATTTATGATTGGATTGACTTCATATAACTTATGAACAGTTGTCCCATTCCATTTGAATGGCATATGTCAACACTGTGATGTAGACAAACAATCGCCATTTCATAATAGTATTTGCAATTTGCTCAGGGGTTACATCTGACACTGGCACTTACTGAGATCCTCTGAGAGCGGGGGGAACTCATAGATGTGCTCACAGGTGTTCTTGCTGCTATTTTCTCAGAACGTTTGAACTGCTCTGCCATATACTGTGCTTGTGGAATTATCACATTCTTCAGACATGCTCATTTGTCTCTTAAGATGGCAGAAAATACTATTATTATTATTATTTTTTTTTTAAAGTAGCCATGACTACTGAAAGTAAATAATGAGTGAATACTAATAGTCCTGGAACATTATTTATAACATGCATGTCAAAAGCCAAATGGCAAAAAATACTAGTTTTTAGTCGCGGCACCCGTTGGAAATTTTAACAAACTTGTGGCACCCTACAAAATTAATTTTGTCACAATATTTGAATTTCTAACTTCGATATGATAATTTGAAAAGTATAGATATTCGGTACAACAGGGAAGAACTGCAGAGTATAATGTCATACAGATATTTTTTATATTATAAAAAAAATTGGTGGCAATCAGTAGGCTAATTTCTAACGAAGAGACCCATTTATACGACAGATTTTAATGTAGACTTTTATACATATGTAAACATTATATAATTACCATTATAACTAGCTATCTCACAAATTTTTGCTCACTCAGTGTTTTTTATTTTACAGTGGGGTAATTTTGGTGCAGTAGCATGAGATAGCTTGATTTCAAACTTGGAATTGAATAAAAAAAATGACAAGCAGTCAGTAATAAAATAAGAACAAATAAAGAAATTAATAATAATAGCACAAATGAAAAATAATGACAGGCCTTCGAATTAAATAAACTGCTTTTTAGTTTTTCAGGTAGGTCTAACAGTAGGGTTAAGATATTAAAAAAAAAATGTTTTTTTTTTTACCAATTATCCAAATAATGTTTAGTCCTAGAAAGCTAATATTATCAGAACACGCGAGCATAACATAGCGGTTAGCAGATCAATGAATGAGAGGTCAGCGTTACCAGAGTTGCCCATATACCACACCATGTTACAACACAGTAGGGCTATTGCAGACAGAAACAATACTGTACTACATCCATGTTTCCTATCGGCTCAATTTTTGAGTGGACTTTGCTGTTCTGATGAGCATGAACGGTATACGAGTGGAGCGACTGAGCGGAGAGATTTTATCTATGCTTGAAATTTGTTTATTTTTGTGAGACTCTCCAAAATGGCGGAAGACAGTAACTCGGGGGAGAAGAATTGTTGAATAAAGTCATCATTTTTGTTTTCTTTGTGCACAAAAAGTATTCTCATAGCTTCGCAAAACTGAAGTTGAGTCACCGAAGTCACATGGACTGTTTTACCGATGTCCTTGCTACGTTTCTGTCTGGGAACATTTCAGATGCGTTGCGGTCTATGTGAGGGTCAGAGAGCTCTCAGATTCCATCAAAAATATCTTTATTTGTGTTCCAAAGATGAACGAAGGTCTTACAGGTTTGGAACGACATGAGGGTGAGTAATTAATTACATCATTTTCATTTTGGGGTGAACTAACCCTTTAATAGTGAGAATTCGTCCTCAAACTAAAGTGTGACCGAAAACACTGCAGTATGCAACCAATCAATTCACTAGACATGGCAGATATATCTACAACCAAAATGGATCTTTCATTGTCACCTGAACTTGGGTGTTCTTAGTAGCGTTTAAAATCACATTGCTACATGGTTGCAAAGGCCCGTGCTTGACTTAGTAAAAGAACAGTCAAGATCAGTGTGTTTCAGCAGAGATCTTCACTGTCAACACCAAACCTGCACACATGTAATGTAAACACGCATGCACTCACAGTCCACGCTATTTTTGCTTCAGACAGTGCCAATTAGTGTTTGCTGCCCCGTAGGTAGTGCATTGTGGGTATGTTTTGCGAGACGCACCCATGAATTGTGCAGATTGGAATTCTGACTCATTCTTAGGCAGTTCATTAAAGATGCCAGAATGACTGTTCCCGTGGGATGTTATTTGACAAATAAATTAGACCCTGCTTAGAAAAACAGAGGCCACATTAAACATAAGCCATTACAAGTCAATGATTCGGTTATCACCCATGTTTTACACAGAGCAACGTTAATCAATTAGTATTTTAGGCCATATTTTAAATTTTCATAATTTCCTGTTCAGAGTGCTAAAACAAACAGGGTATATATATATATTTGTATTAAGCTCCATCTTGAATAAAGTGGTCAACTGCTAAATGATCACCAACTAAACTAGTCTGGACAGATATAAATGTCTGATAGGGAACAAACCCCTATTCACAGCATTTAGCCAAGCAGCGGCAAACAACAATGAGTAAAAACATCACATGCAATTCATCAAGGCTTACACAACAGCAGCATTTAAATTGCAAATGAGCTCTCTATTTAAATGCACAGTTGTTGGCCCTTAATATTCAGATTTTTTTGTGTCCGATTTCCTGAGCAGACATTCTGGGGAGTTATTTGTGAAATCAGAGCTGGATAATGTTATTTCAGTTTCAAAATAAAACACCTTTTAGGCATAATAGGGTCTCACATTGTGGTATTGTGTAGAAATAAATCGTCTGTATAGTAACATCTAATAACGTTTACCAAAGAATCAGGATGATGTAGGATTTAATTTGTTACAGAGATGCTATAAGAAAAACAGAGACACTTCCAAAAAAAAAAAAAAAAATGGTGGTGAGTAATAGGAGCAGTGTTTTTGGATCTAAAGGCGGCGTTCGACACTGAACCATGAGGTACTTCTTTCAAAGCTCACACTTTTGAATTTTTCTGATGAAGCTATTAAATGGATGACTTCTTATTTAGCAAATAGGAAGCAAAGTGTGCGTCTTGATAATAGTCAATGTACCGAAACCGTAATATTGGAGTTCCTCAAGGATCAATTCTGGGCCCTATCTTGTTTAGTTTGTATATAAATGACTTGCCGCTAGTCTGTTCATCTGTATGCTGATGACACAGTTTTATATGTGCATGCTAAAAACAAACAACAAGCAGAGAACGTTTTAACTGAGGTATTGGTCCATGTTTCAGATTGGCCGAGTAACTCATATTACATTTGAATAAGCAAAACCATTTGTATGTATTTCTCACAAAAACTGACAACGATTCCTCATCCTGATGTACTTGTTAAAGGAGAAAAGCTCAAGGTTGTTTCTGATTTTAAATACTCGAGTAATTTTAGATTCCCAACTGACATTTTAAAAGCATGCTAAAAAGGTAGCCAGAATTATTAAATTTAATTTGGCTAACTTCAGGCATATAAGACCATTCTTAAACATTAATGAGGAAAAAAAATTAACTTAAATGATTTTAGCAAATGGCTGCAATATAACCGAGTGAAAAATGTAAGGGGGTCTGAATACTTTCCGTACCCACTGTAGAAGCAGCAAAACTTTTCATGCACTGATTTTTTTCTCACATTACATATTGTTTTACTAGTTGGTCACAAGCAAGCACAACAGTTTTAAAAACGAATTATTCTCTGTACAAACAGACGCTTAAAATATCTGATCAGAGGACTAATAGTTATGATTATTGCAATATAGTTCAAAAACATAATTTATTGAGTTTTGATAATATTAAACATTTGGTTGATGCTTGCTTGATTTTTAAGATCTTAAATGGTTATGCACCTCCCTCACTATGCCAGTTTATAATGCATAAGGATAATAACAGCAGAGTAACAAGAGCAACTACTAGAGGAGACTGTGCTGTACAGTTTAGGCGTACAACATTTGGACGGTCAGTCTTCTCAATTAGAGCTATTAATTATTGGAATACTTTACCAACTGAATCAAGCAGTAGAACAAATTATTTAACATTTAAATATAAATTAAAGAAATTGTTAAAAGCAAGTCATATTTGTAATCATGTGTAATTTTATTTAATTTTTTACTTTTATGATGCTGCCATTATTATACTTAGTGTTATTGTAAATGAAGTGACATAATAATAATAATAATAATAATAATAAGTATAAGTAGTAAAAGTAGAAGAATAAAAAGAAAAAGAAGAAAATGTAATAAATTCGCAAAGTACCTGAATTTGGCTTAAGAGATAAACATTTTACAATAAAGCCTCGTACACACCGGGACGATTATCGCGCGTGCTTATCGCCGACGTTTTTCGCATCGAAGACGTTAAGACGCGTTGTCTTTTGTGTTCATATCAAAGCGATTTTCGCAGGCGATGAGCCGAGTGAACATGCAAATTCACTCCCTGACATTAGATGGCGCTTAATGAAAAACAGAAATACCCCAGTACACATCGAATCTTATTTGATCTGCAATTCCCCTCCATAACAACACCCTCTTATCGAGATTTTTGTAGTCGCCGTCACGTTTGTCATAAAGCCCTTTGTGTTCAGACACCAATGAGACCAGCAGCTCTACATTCATCTTGCCTCGATGCATCTTCTTGGTCTACTTGCGTCCTCTTTGTCGTTAGGTATCAATGTGTGCTTGGCAAGACAGTTTTGTGCTTGTGTGCCACCAAGTCGTGTTTTACTGTAACTTCAGAAGCTCCAGGCATGTGAACAAATGCGCAAATCTCATTGGTCAGCCAGTTAACGCGGCGCGTCAAACCAAAAAAACGAGCCCGAGGAATTAAAAAAAAAAATTATGCTTTTACGCATCGCGTTTTGCGCGTCAGTGTGCACACTCACATTGGGGCCCTTTGTTTAGTCACGAGGTGTTAAACGTCAGTGATAATCGTGCGCGATATTAAGTCGCTGGGGTATATTTGTAGCAATAGCCAAAAAATACATTGCATGGGTCAAAATTATAGATTTTTCTTTTATGCCAAAAATCATTAGGACATTAAGTAAAGATCATGTTCCATGAAGATATTTTGTAAATTTCCTACTGTAAATATATTACAACTTAAATTTTGATTAGTAATATGCATTGCTAAGAACTTCATTTGAACAACTTCAAAGGCGATTTTCTCACCCTCAGATTCCAGATTTTCAAATAGTTTTATCTCGGCCAGATATTGTCCTATCCTAACAAACCACACATCAATGGAAAGCTTATTTATTCAGCTTTCAGATGATGTATAAATCTCAAATTCGAAAAATGGCCCCTTA